AGCAACTCTACTTTATATCTATAGACAGAGGAATTAATCGAGAGATTAAATTAGACCATAAAGGATATGTTTGAGGCGTATACCCTAGGTTTTCATGGACAATTGGAAGCATTTACTTCACTTGTCAAAATTTTGTTTGTGATATTGTTGGCACAAGAAGGTTAGTGTGACACCTTTGGAGGTTTTGTATCTTTCACAATGCAGACCTCTCATTTGTTGGTTTGAAATGGAAGTAAGGGTTGTACAATCAGACCTTGACTTCATTTAAAAATATATCGGAGAGAGATAACCCCTTTTTTTTAATTAACTACGCGCGGTTGGGAAGCGGCAGTAGGATGTTGTAAATAGTTGAACTCGTATACTAACGTTTTCTATCAGGGAGTAGTTTGCTCGTTCTGTTTTCCATATAGGAAGCAAGGTGATTTTTGGAGAAAGGTCAATTTTACTTATTACATTGACATTTGGAGGATTGTGTTATAATTTGAGGTAGTCGCCTCTGAATTAGCGTTACCAAATCATTAGCGTTGGGTACATAGGAGTTTTGTGAGTATATTCTATGGCACTTGGAGGAATCCGAATTATTACCTTGTCATATTGGGTGGATTGCGTTGTTGTTAGGCACGACCCATGCGTTGTATGATTATTGTGTTTCTTAAATATAGGAACCATGTATACTACTTGATACATTGGAGTTAAGTGGAGCCCTCATAGTGAGTTTGCGTCTACTTGGGAATAAGAGGATGGTTTTCGCTCTCAGTTTCCAAGCATAATGGAAAAAAGTAAAGGCGAATTCCGAGGACGGAAATTTTTTTGTTAGGGGGGAATAATGTAATATCCCTAATTTTAAAAGGATAGTCTCAGTATTTATTTATTTATTTTTAGTGCATTTTTAATTATTTAATCGATTATTTGACTAATTGCTTATGTGTTTAATTGAATTAAGTGTTACTTGATTAATTGGCTATTTGTCTATGTATTATTGGTATTTTGTCTAGGTGTTATTTGTTTTATTTGTTTAGTTAGGTTGTGTACTTAAATGATGTATTTGATTAATTGTAAATTAAATGATTAAATATTTTATTTTATTTTATGGTTTTGGTTAGTAGTAATGGGCCAACCAATTGGGTCCTATAGACTACTTGAATAGGAGGTTGGATGGGTATGGATAATTATCCATGGATAGCTGTGTATGTATATATAGATATATATTATACACATATATAAAAGGGAAATGAATTTATTAATTACTTTTATGGTAACTTGGGTATTAATAGTTAATCTAATGTATATATTTTATATATGTATATAATAAGGATACATAGATTATATACATATCATATTTTAAGTTACATTTTAATATTATGGTAACTTAAATATTATTAGATAATCTGTTAACAAATAATGGGATGTATATAATTTATTTATTTAATAAGGATGTACATAAATTATAGACGTAACATATTTTATGTTACTTTTTTTTTAATATTTTATTTTTATGTTTTTTTTTTAAAAGTTAACTTAGATTGGGAAAAGGATTAAGGTTATTTTATTTGGCTTATAAATATATAGCTATAGGTTGTAAAAGGGGGGTTAGAAATATATGACGTAATATTCTAGAGAGAGAGAGAAGGAAGAAGAGGAATGAATGAGGAGAAAACCCTTTAGAGAAGAAGATCAAGGAAGAAAAAGTTTAACTTTCGATCCAAAAGTTTAAGGCAAGTTCTTCTTCTATCTCTCTCCCTTTGATTCGTGTTTCTATAAATGCCTGGAAAATTACAGGGGTTATTAAACACATAAAATTAAATAAGTATGTATGTTGAATTGGATTAGAACATAGGTTTTATGAAATTGGTTCATATCTGTTCTTGTGTTATGAATCGATAAATTCATGATTTTGATTTGATTTTTGGTATGAATTTTTACATGTTTAAATTATGTATTTTTCATATCTATATATTGATGAAACATAGAAACATGCCTAGGATTCCTGAAACAAATAAAGAATGAATGCACAGTAAATTTCCGAGTTGATCCGCGTAGCACTGTTCGAACCGCTGTTACAGTGCTCGAGCCTTGGGGGTAAAGCTCTAGCCTTGGATGAAATGCTCGAGCAATTGGATGTAAAGTTCGAGCAATTGGTTGTAAAGCTCGAGCCTGATAAGGAAAGCTCGAGCAATTGGGATAAAAAGCTCGAGCTTGAAGTAGGATGCTCGAGCCTTGGATAGGGTGCTCGAGCTTTTAGGACAAAAGCTCGAGCATTACCTGGAGAAGTTTCGTAAATAGCATAGTGTTACTTCTTGTTGATTTTGAAGGGTCCTGAACATTAAATAAGGACTTGGGTTTGGGTTTAAATAAATTTAAATAGACTCGATCATAATGATGTTTGCTATTTGAATGTTTTAAACAAACGAATGGATTTAATCTTTTAAATTGTTCTAGCAATTAAAATTAAATGTGTAGGATGAATTGGATATGGAGAATGCTTATTTGACGATATATTAAAATATCATCATAAATAAGATTCAGTTTGTATAGGACATATGATATAGAAAACTTAAATAAATAATAAGTCATTCCTATTTTGTGATAACTTGATATCATATTATCATGGTTATTTCTGGATTGTTTGATGTATTTCTTTAGTTGTTACATCAATTATTGGATTATGTGGTTTAATGTACCAGTATGGGACGGTGGCATTTTAAGGATGGATTAACTTATCAGTTAAGTCCTACCTATTTTTATATAAGGAAATAGATTAACTAAAATGTCAAGTCCTACTTATATTCAAGTCAGGTCAGCTGAACAAGTTGAATAACTTATAGATGATTACTTGTAGAGGATTAATTTTTACTAGATTATATATATATAATTATGGTGCCATGATATGAGCTTAAGTCTAAGGATCAGTGGTTATGGCACGTATATCGCCATGGATGTGTAGCTGGATATAATGTAGTTATGTGCCCTGGTAGGTCTAGGTACTCATGCCCATTATATGTGCGTTTTGCGTGATGCCTACTATTCAGGTTGAGTCAACCCTATAGTCTAGTGAGGTTCCTTTAGTGTGTATTTATATATATATATATATACGGACTACTAGTTATTGTTGGATTAACTAGAATGTACATGTATATCGGATCTCTACTTGGACTGTAGTAGAGTAGAACTTATTTGTGGGCCTGACCCACCCTCATTTTTCAGGTATACGTCTGGAGTAGGGATTGTTCGTGCTGAGCAGGAATCAGTCTACTTCATTCTTCCGATTCTACTTAGGAGATTTGTTTATGTTTCAATTTTCAGTTTGGTTTTTCTAGGGGTCCACATAGTATAGATTCCCGAGTTGTATATTTTGGAGGGTTAGTTGTATCAGAAGAGTTTATTATTTAATAGAAATTTATTCTGAGGTTTTATTATTAGATTATCATTTTAGTTTCTTTTTAACATTTTATTTATTCTTTTGTACTATGTATTCGTTTATTGCCAATTCGTTTTTGTATCGCCGGGTATTCGGGCGTGGGCCTGGCCAACCCGCATTCGGAAATCCGGAGGTATCACACTTTGTGTAGTGGAGATAGCGTCCAACAGATCGAAGAGACAAGGATCTCGCATTCTTTCAGGATACGACAAGGAACTAAAGCCACGAATTGCAAATTAAACATTAGATCTTGTTGAAAGGGGAAAAGGGTGTGCAACTTCTGCTCCTATGGCTGACGGAATTCCCACAACCATTACTGCCGAACAAGAAGTCCAACCTTACAAGATATAACAATAGGGGTTTGGTAAGGGGCTAGCGGGTCATTTTGGAGTAGAGAAGAAGGTGGTTCATTGCGTGAGATAGGTTCAGAACTGAGTTGTGTGTGAGAGATTTGACGATGACTCGAGCTCCGGTGCGGCAGAAGATGGAGTTTTCTGTTGCGAAAAATCAGTGTGTAAATATGCTTTCAAAAATCCAAAACCCATTACAGAGTTTGTGTGAAGTTGGCAGCCAATCTGGCCGCCGGAAATTGGACTGGTTTGCGGCCAATCCTTGGAAAAGGTTTCCTAAATCTTTGTACCCTTATACACCACTGATTTGATGTCCACCAAACGATTGGTGATTGAGAGAACGATTCACAATTCAAAAGGGTTGTGATGTCTTTTCTGTTTATGTGGTGAAGCCTTCCCCGAGTTTACTGTTTTCTTTTCTATTTTTAATCTGGTTTCTATAAATCTCAGAATTAGCAAGATTGATTGATGAATTGGAGGTTACAAAAATTTAGGAGAATAACATAACTTATTTTGGCCCTCCTCTTCTTGCGGTTGAACATGGTGGTGCATAGTGGGAAAGAAGAAATAGGAGGAGAGTAGGAAGAGAAGGGAAAACAGAGGGATTGAAAGTGCTGGTGGTTTGCCGGAATTTTCTTGACTTTGAGATAGAAATAGAACGCACAGACCTTGATAAAATCTTGGACCCAAGAGAAAACCCGTAAAAAGATCCGATTGATCTATGTTTAATTTTTAACATTTTTTTGACAAGTGTCAAGTTGTGAGTGATCCACATCCGTAGAAGCAATGAATTCCTGCTTATACGGCCTAAGAGCATCTCCAACGGTATGTTAAAATATCCTTTTGGGTAAAATATACACGGTCACCTATAATGTGTAAATTTTTTCCATCACCAGCAGTCTGTTAACCTACATTGCCACATCACCAATGTGTAAAAGGGTTGTGTAAAATACACAACTTTTTTATACGGCCAAATCAACATATTTCCTTTTTCATTCCTCTTTCCTATTCCATTAAAGAATCAATTATATATTAAGTAAGTTTGTAAAAGTTATGTGGGTCCTGGCATGTGTACGTGGGTCCTAGCATGACAAATGGTTGATTATTATTGGGAGATATATTTTTACACAAAAGGTATATACATAATCGTTGGAGTTAGAATTAAATAATTCAAAATTGTGTAAATCTATCATGACACATCTATCATGACACATCAGATTTACGCCAAAAAAAAAAAAAAAACAACTATACGCGACTCTTGAAGATGCTATAAGGCAAGCATTATTCTTCGTCATTTTCTACTCCATGACTGCATGAGAATACACAAATCTTGTAACATCTTTCCGTATTTTTCTCGAACTTCTGTTCTCTCTTGTAATTCACTCCCATACATACATTCATATAAATCTATACACACACCATTAAAAAAAAAAAAAAAAAAAAAAAAAAAAATTTAATTCTATACACGTACACATATTTCATCATGCAATTGTTAAATTACTTTTCCCTCTTTCTCGTGTCTCATCAGCACCGCCAAACATGACATCGACGGCTGTGAAGGTTCCGCCGGCGGCGAAGAAGGTGAAGCATGAAATGGAGATGCTCGGCGACGCAAGGGTCGATAACTACTACTGGTTTCGCGACTATTCTCGCTTACCTCCAAGCAGAGAACGCTTACACCGACTCCGTCATGGCTGGTATACAAAGATACATAAACATATATGTATATGTATATTGATGATTATCATGTATGTCAAATACACTATTGCATTACTTTTAATTTTGTTCCTCGTGAGAATTGGAATTATTATGTGTAGCTTCTCAAATCCCCTATATTTGTGAAGTATTGATAAACCTTAAGGGTGTGTTTGGTTCCATTAAATTGATAGCTTGGAATTGGGGGTCTCGATTTTGAATATGGTGTTCAATTTGTGTAATTAACTGGACCCAATTTGACAAGTATAATTCCAAAAGCGGAGTGAAATTTCATTCCAAATCCACTTGGAATTTATATTATAAATTTTATATATACAGAAATACATGCATATATATTTAAATAAATATCTTTATATATCTATATCTATATATTATATTAAAAAGTATATACCTTTTCTATTTTTATATACATTTTAATACCTTTTTTAAAAATTATTCCTAATATATTATCTTTTTTTAATAAAACACACAACCCTTTACCAATATGTTTGGATAGGAGGAAATTTTTCCTGGAACCAATAAGTGAAGATCTTTTTCTTGGGTGATGGGCCTAGTCAATTCACTAACTTTCAAATGTATATAGACTTGATATGATGTTTAGTTTGGGTTCTTTTGGATTAGCTGACATTACAATAAAGATGTTATGCATAAAAGATGGAGATCTCATGTGAAATGGGTTGGATGGAAGTGAAGGTTGGAATGTTAAAGAAAGAGTGAGAGATAAAGACAATGTCAAGGTCAACAAATACTTCTCAAGGTTAGGGCCATACATGAGGTCAATCCAAGCTTAAAGACGTTAAGATAAATTATAGTGTTTCTAAGGTTCTTTAAGTGGATGCTAAGTATGCTAGAAGTTTTCCTCATGCCTTAAGGTATATTTGACTCTGGTGAAGTAGTGCTTAGTTAAAAACAAAGTGATACTCATGCTGACATGGGCTTTAATAAAAAACATTCTAGTACCTACAATGGTCCAAATAAATGCTGACTGGCATTTTGATAGACAATATATGGGTGGCATTGCGGCTATATAGGTAACATTGCTTCACATAGGGTGGCAATGCAATGTCATGACAACATTGAAGCGGATTGGTATCCCCGACAAGCTTCAGCAGTGGTCCAAAATACCACTTCGTATGTAGGCAATATTATCTGAAAGTCATATGATGTCACTTTTGAAGTCAAATTGCTTGGTGTGAGCAGACCTTGAGAAGTGGGTGCCTCAGCAAACTTTGGATTCCAGTCTCCAAGCCAAGTACTCCTAGGATTCCAAAGTACCATGGCATGTTTCCGTATCTTAAGGTGAGTCGTGACAATAGCCTTGCAAAAGGTAATGACATGTTCATGTATCCTAAAGTGGACCATGATTATAGCCGTAACTAGGCTATAGAAGTCCCTTGAGTTTTGTTCCTAATCCAGGTAGTGCAGGAGGTGCATTAGCATTTGACCTTCACCCGAGGCTTTTTTGTATAAAAAAGATCTTTAAAGATTCTTGCAAAGCAGCACTAGATTATGAAGAGGCCCATCTATATCATGTTAATGTTAATGGGGGATACTTGGGGCCTATAATAGATCACGTACTTGTAGATAAGATGAAGCTTTATTTGTAATTAGACTTTCTAGATAATTTTACAGGATTGGCTACTTGAACCATTGAGTCTTGATGAGGGTTTTATGCTTGCTATAGGTAGCTTGTAATCGCTAGTAAAGTTGTGGAGAAAGCAAGGTCTTCCTGTATAGTGGAAGCAGTCGAACCCTGGGGTGCTGCACTTGAACGTGTTGGATAATGTAACTATGCCTTGTCACTAAGTTGAGATTGAAAGTGAGGTAATTGCTCTCACTGTGATTGTAGGTAACCACTTTTAAGGCGAAGATCATGAGATAAAAATTCTTACGGCTGGGATCGCCAAGTAATTACTCTAGAGGCAGACAAAGCAGAGTCTCCTTGAATCCCCTTCCAAATGAGCCTTAAAGTTATGACATGTCGATATTGTCCTCGTCTCTTGTCTTAGTGCCAAAAATGATGCTTGATACTTGCATATAATGTCATTGACTAACAAGGTGTTTACAAAGAAAGCTGCTATGATTTTGTGATATGTAAAGCTACAACTTCATCAATAAATATTCCCTTGTCAGATGTTAATAAAAGACATCAAGATAATAGATGATGTGGAGGTGAGACCATTAGTTTATAGATAAGAATCCCAAGCATTGATGTTGTGAATAGTATAGCAATATATAAGGCTATGTAGATGTCATCATCATAGTGTGTTAATAGCTTGAGTATATAATTTTATTTATTTATTTTCATTAGAACCTTGAATATTAGTTAGTGCTTGTTAGGTTTATCTTGTCCAAAGGCAAAATCAGAATTAAAGCTACATTCAAGGGCAAAAGGTGATTTCAAGCACAAGGGTGAAACGGTAAATTTGACACTTACATTATGCGCTTACCAATTAGGTTTCATGCATATTCACCAATCAGGATTTCATATATTTTATGATTTGATTCTTTAAAATTCTTTTTACTATGCATATTTGTGCTTTTGAAAACAACTAAAATTGAAAATCCCAAGTACAGCAGCGATCAATCAAACACTCTGCAATCGAAAGCTTTTCCAAAACATAGTTACCCTTTTACTTTAAATTTCTTAAAACCTTGAAGTTTTCAGGCACTATGTTATGTATGAAGACATCTAATGCTCAGAAAACCTAGACAGAGTGCATGCATCATATAACTACCACATACAGACTGGTGAGTAATCTTATAAAATGTTGATTATCTGAGCATGCAATGAGTTCAACAGAAAAGGAGCAATCCAACAGAGAACAGGTTGGACGACTTGTCCAGAGATCAAATTGCTTGTGGAGAAGATGATCCTGTGGGATGCAGGTGTTGTTCACAAAATTAACTGAAGGTCTGCAGAATCGAGTGGAGGGTTTGGTTTAGTATTGCTAGAAAATAACTAGGGGTTCTAGGGTTTAGGAACGGTTAACCAAGTTGTGCAAATCTCTCTCATATAGTATATTTAATATGGCTGAACTAGGTCCCATGGTTTTATCCCTTGGGGTTTCCACTTAGAAAATCTGTGTCCATTTTTCTTTTACTTTACAGCACTTTATATATTGATTGTTCATATGTTTGGGTGCATGATGGATTGGTAGATTGCTAACTGTTTTGGGAGTATAATTTTTGGATAATTGTTAGTTCAATTAAAATTCAAAAAGTAGTTAACTAGTTTTCAATACCTATTCATCTCCTTTCTAGGGTTCCAGTCCTATCCCCTCAGTGCATTATCAGACATATAGATGTAGAGAGTTGCTATGTCTGGATGGCTCTCAAGAATGGATTAAAGGTCTGAATAATAAGGGTAAAGTGAGAAAAACACTTCAATTGTTTAAAATTTGGGCAAATAACACCCCTAACCTTTATTTTGGATATATAAGTCCATTAAGTTTTAAAAAATGGTCAATAAGGGCTTAATTTGTATAATATGTCTGAAAATCACATTTAAGTAGTCATGTGTGTTGCGCATGCCTATATTAAGTAACAAATTCTCTAAATTGCCCTTTTGGTCTCCCTAAAATCCTCTTATATCATTTTACATATAAACACCATTTCCCTCTCTTTTGATTAGGCTACTTTGGTCATTTTACATTTATTTTGTTTTTCACCACCTTTTTTATTTATTTATTTATTTATTTTTTGTTGTTGTTGTCAAGTACATAAGGGCACTTTAGTCTTTTAATTGCTCTACTGACAACAGGCCCTTGTTCGCACCAAAAATAAAGATTAGGGACTTTTAAGAACCTATAGGGGTGTTTATCGCTCATGACCCCCCAATAATAATGTGATGCCAGTGGAGATTTTGAATTAGTCTCCATTGATTAAGTGGCGTTCTTTACTTGGACAGTGGTGTGGGGCAAGATCTTGATGCTCGACAATTTGAGGAGGTGAAGACAAATCCCAGTTAACTGGTGCTGTATGTGCAAGTGCAATGGAGTATCGTTGGATCATCTTCTTTTGCATTGTCCATTGGCATTGGACTGTTGGTGTCTTTTGTTAGGCATATTTGGGGTTTCGTGGGTAATGCCTAGATTTGCGAGAGGATTGATGGAAGCATGGAGAGGGTGCTATGTGGGAGGTCATGTTCGTGGGTTTTGGAGGATGGTGCCCTTATGTTTATGGTGGTGTTTGTGGAGGGAGCGGAATAATAGATCTTTTGAAGGAAAGGAATCCTCGATTGTTGTTCTTAAGTCAGCCTTTATTACATATTTGTGTTTCTAGGGTTCAGGTAGGCTTTGATCCTCCCTGGAGGAGATGATTGATTTTATTTCTTCCTTGGGACCATAGGATCCCTTTGTTGTTTCTGGGACGCGTTCCCCTTTTGAACGCTCTTTGAATGAATTGGTTTATTTATAAAAATAAATAAATAAATAAATAAAAATTACATGATCAATGCATCTAGTTGTTGGACTATATTGAGCCCTCTGCATAATATACGGTGGTTATAGAAATAGCACAATAAGATGCCATAATAATCCCAGAGGTACCCTTGCTTCTATATTTGGGTCCGAATGTTTCTTGCACAAAAGGAGTAAGATCATTAGTTTGTCACAAGAACATTTTCTAGGTATACGTATAAGATACTATGTATTGGTAATAAAAGATGGGTATAAAGTTCTCAACATGGCTAAGTTGCATGTACGATATAGAGGGGTAATAAACGTGGTATTACCTAATCCATGTCATAGAGAAGATAAGTATTAGGTGTTTGATGCATTTTAAAATTTTAAGCAAGATATACTGAATGGTAAAAAATGATATTCATATGTAATGATCATCATAAACTAAAATTTTAAGAAATAATTACTCGTGTTTGATTTATAGTCCCCTAAGATGTGATGGTACATGTTGTGATACACCTTGGCAACTCTTGAAAGATGAAAATATCGAGACTGAGCATGTGTGATATTACATTAGC